GCACCAGACCCTTCAGAGTGACCAGAGTGTCCAAATCGCGTTCGCCGCGTTCTAGCAGACGCGCCACTGACTCCTCCACCTCTTCATCCTCTGCATCAACCAGGTTGTTCAGCGGATCATATTCTGGATCAGGCTTCTGATAGACCCGAGGTGGGGAGGCGGGGTTCGTGATCTCGAGGATGGGCGGCTTCTTGGAGTCCTTCCAAAAAGCGTGTAGGGAGGCCAAATCAGTGTCTGTCCGGCTGCACTTGGGTGCAGGAGGTAGTGGGCGGGTGCGTAGCAGGGGATCAGTTTTGTGACCAGAACCGCCGCCAGCGATGCCAGAAGATGGTGAAGCAAGCACTTGCGGCACCATATTGTGATTTTCGTCAAATTCGACCACGTGCAGACCCAGACGATTGGCTACTTCCTCATACGTTTCCTGCAGAAGGAAGCCATTGGATGAGATGGATCGAGTATGTCGACCGCACGTAAACAGTATGCGACGAAGCCAATGATATATGAAAATGCCTCTTAAAATGGAGTTGGGAAAGAAGGCTGTGAGTAGCATAAAGCATATTACGAACGCATTTCATACAGGCTAGCACCTTGAATTTTTATTGGATGCTTTTTCCAAACCCTCGATCACTATTTAAGTGACGTGCACTTGTCCATCGATTTTACACGTTAACACAGATTCAAGGAGAGAAACGGAACGATCATATCTAACACCTCCTTTGTAAATAAATGTACACCCTCAATCTTGACGAAATCGCAGAAACTGACATGGATTTGCGTGCAGGCAGATATCTGAATTTTTTTTAGACTTATTTCGCAATGATAGATCCAAGAGTAAGAAAATGTGGTAAGAGGGAACTGAGGAGTAAGTAAGTGGTTAGGTGCCTGCTATTCCCAGTACGCAACGTAACGGGGAATTGTCCTAACTGAATGCCGAAAGCAGTGAACATAATCTTACGATTAGTTAATACCGGCTAAACAACCACGGCGTCAGGTATGTTGTTGCTCTTTTCATTTAGCCCCTGCCTTGACACACCTGATCAACCTATCCTTCCTGGAGGCTAAGATTTCCGATGATTGGCGATCAGTAAGAATCACTCCCATCCCGGAAAAACCTCTACTTCTGGTCCTAAATCCTTTCGTCCAATTGCCTGCTCCTCTGCACTACGGAAACTTGCAGAAGGAGTTGCCTCGGACATAATTAGGCCGTTTTCCTCCGATTTTTCTGATCCTCTGCAAGTTGTATATGGG